TCGATCGGGTTGGATTGGTCAATTTAGACATTAAAAATCATAAAAATATGCTTGACAATAAAAACCTATCAACCATGCCGTTTCGTCCATTAAACTTGTAATTAGGCATCAAAGAAAATGCATATATTATACGAATTATCATCTCACTTAAAAGAAAGAAATAAGCTTGAAACCAAGCCCCAAATTATCATATTATGACATCACATTTGCAAAATATAAATGAATGATCAAATTAAAATTTAAAATTAAGAGTATCAGAAGGAATAAAGCCCGATGATTAGCGTCAAGCCTAGATGCAAACAGAGTTGACAACAGATCAACGGGCTTGAACGAGAGAGAATGAGGAAGTATGAGAGAAATGATAAGACTTTGTAATTAGGGCAGTCAGGTTTCAACTTTTTAATTTTTATAATTGTTTTTATTTTTTTCCCACTTTTTTAACGCGAGTTTTATCGATTTTGATGGATCAACCCATAACCCAACCCATTTTCTTCTAAAAGACCAACCCAACAGAATTTTAAGAACAAATTGACCCAAATCGATTGGTTCAATTTGGGTTGGTCTGTTTTTATGGGTTGATTCAATTTTTGCCCATTCCTAGTTCCACTCATATAGGTTGATTTTCTTTATATTCTTCTCTCAATTATATAGTTACGTTTTTTTTATTGAGAATGTTTTGTTTTATTCGTTTACTAATAATCTCTTATTTAATTTGTCTAGTGTAATCAATTTATTATTAATTGTTAATAATTAAATAAGGGTAAATTAGGAAAATATTTTACAGAAATTATTTTTTTAATAACATTAAGCCCCTGTTTGATCCCCATTTTTCGGAAATGAAAATAGGTAGAATATGGTTGTTTTGAAAAATGAGTAAATGAAAAAGAAGAACAAGTTTTCGATTTACGTATAATATTATTTTATAGAAGATTATTGAAAATGGGAGAGAGAAAAATGAAATGTAATGAAATGAAAATTAATGAGGGAGGGGAAAATCGGGGCCAAATAAAATTTTTTAATCCGTGTAAAAAATATGGTCCTCGTGACGCACGCGAAGGCGAAATTTAGCAAGTTCCTTGTCCAAGCACTCGGATCAATTTGTTTTCATTCACCAGTCACAGTCAGTCTAGGACGTAGTTGGTTGCCTGGTGGGGGTTGGTGAATTTGGCCCAATAAACCAAACTATACGGCGCTTATTCAATCGTGACTTTTTTTTAGGTGTACTATTCTCCTTTTCAACCAGCCGTGCATCCACAGAATTGAATCGAAAGTCCTGCTCGAAGATGGGGTGGATGACTAGATTTCTAACGGCAGCGGCATTTTTGGCAGTTGGAGCCGTATTTTCGCCGGAAACCTTTGGATCAAAATCAATCGGCCTGCATTCGCCGATGCTCATCACTCTCTTGAAGCTGGCCCACCTCCTCTGCTTCTCCACCGCCTTTGGCGCCGCCCTCTGGGTGACCTTTGTTGGCGGCATCATCATGTTCAAGTAAATTTCACAGCTTTTACATTTTCCCCTAATGTTGCTTACCCTTTCTTGAAATAGCTCTCCTTATAACGTAGCTCATGCGGATAATATTGTGTATGTGGATTATTATTATTATTATTATTATTATTATTATTATTATATATATATACACATATATATAATTATTTTTTAATAAAGAATGGAGGAAGAAGATAGGGATGAAATGATATGAAATTATAGGGTTATCTTTGATTGAAAATATAATTCAAACAAAATCATAGCATTGCTGTCTTTTTTTTATATACCTTTTTGTACTAAAATTTTGATCAATAGACGAGGTAGGGGTTAATGTCAAATCCCCTGAGGGAATTTTGATGGTCATTATTTTGATAAAATAGAGTTTTGAACAGTGTTTTTTTTGGGAGAATGTATGGTTAAAATGTGGAGAAAAGTTTTAGATTTATGTGCAAAATATTTTATTTTGTGTGGTTGAAAATGAGTAGGAAAATTAAAAAGTTTTGGAATAACAGTTGTCAACCGTGGGAAGAAGTTATGGTGAAATCTCAGGGTCGTTGAACTTTTTTGTGCCTAATTAGTCGTTGAACTTATAAATTTGTTTCAGCTGTTAGGTACTCTGTTGGCATTAGTTGAACTAACAAGAAAGCTAATGAAAAAATCATACGAGGCAGTTAAACCCTAGCGACGTACGGTTGTGGCACAGAAACCTTGTTTATAGATGAAAAGGTTATTCCAGTATGTTAAAATATGCATCTTTATCAAAGTTGCATTTTCGGACATCTTTCCAAATTATTATTAGTGTCATCGTGTCAGTAAAGGTTAATTGGTTTAACTACGGGGAATGGATGGGGGTTCACTGGGTAACTAATCTTGAAGCAAATTATGAATTCACTTATCCAGTTCAGTGATCGCCAGTGAACCCTACTTCATTGCAACACTTTTATCATGTAATGCCGATAATTTGTAGTGTTGAAGGAAGGAGGGATGGAAATGATATGAAATTATGGTGTTATCTTCATTGTAGGAATTTACCGAGGCATCAGTTCGGGAATTTGCAAAGCAAGATGTTTCCAGCTTACTTCTCAATGGTGGGGGTATGCTGTGCAGTGTCGATGGGTGCTTTTGGGTACCTGCATCCATGGAAGACTTCAACCACTGCTGAGAAGTACCAGATTGGATTCCTGCTCGCTGCCTTTGCTTTCAATCTCACTAATCTCTTTGTCTTTACCCCGATGACCATAGAGGTACAAAGTGCACTAATTTTGTAACTCTTTTCATGATTGTTGCAAGTATTTGGTACCTGCAATTCTGATTTTTTTTCTTGTCATGATTGATAAAACTGTAAAATGATTGAGACGGAAATGTATAGGAACAAGAAAAGTTGTATGCTTCTTTGTCTATGAATTACAAATAGAAAGATATAGAAATGAAGATCCTGCAACGATTATGCAATCAAACTATTAACAAATAATTAAAAGAGTTCTGGGAATTATGACATAATCAATATTTTTTCATATCTTTAACCATATTACTGTTGTTTTGACTTGATTTGAGCATTCAGAATTGAAATAATATTAAGTTGAACTACTAGTTTGGAAATCTTGAGCTAACTAGTAAAAGATTTTGATGGCTTTAAGCAATTGTCTAAGATTGATATGTACTACTACAGTAACTAAATTCTTATTTACCTATTTCGACCTCAAGGTCATTGATTTGCGAATTTTGGAATTGCCTCTGTTGAATTTTTTTAGTTTTGAGTTCCGACTTCTAGGCTAGAAATGGGTTTCGGACATTATTCTTTGTTAACCTTGTTTTATTTATTTTCCACTTGCTGACTATCAATAAATTTGTGATGTTATTTTATGACCATCACGACTTTTTTTATGTGGGAGAGATGCAATTTTTGCTATTTCCCTATGTTGAATTGTAACCCATCCCCTTCCTCCCTACCAATTTGCCGTGGCCTTAGATTACTCTTTAATCTCAGTGTGTTGGATTGTGAAGAGCATAATCATATGTTTAGTTATCCCATCAACCATGCATCGACCTAAAATTTCGGAAGTATATTAACTCAACCTAATGTTCCTTGTACACGAGGGATTTTACCACGCTGATTTTCCGAGTATGTTGGAGGGTGTGAAATGACCTTTTACTCTACTTCATTATATTGATAACTCACAACCACTTCATGTGGTTGTAACTTTTACATTGAGTGTGAATCACTATAAATTTGT